GCACGGCTGCTGCTGCTGCTGCTGCTGCTGTGCCTTCAGCTCCCTGGGCTGCTTCTCTGGCCCCTCTGGCTCTGGTTGCTGCAGCTCTGCTCCCAGGGCAGGTCTGCTCTCTCTGGGCTGTGCTCTGGCTTTGGGGCTGCAGCTCTGCTCCCAGCAGCTTAGCTCGGGCCCCTGCTCTCTCCTTAGCTCGGCCCCCCTCTGTCTGACTTAGGCCATTCCAGTTCACACGGAGGACAGGACCCCCCTGGCCTCCTGACTCTCTGATTAGCCTGCCCGCCCTGTCAATCAGGCTGATCTGGAGCATTGGCCTCTCCCCATTGTTCCTGGGGACTGTCAGTCTCAGGCTCCTGATTTGCCATTGACCCTTCCCCTTTCAGTGCTGGGAGCTAGCCACCAAAACACCCCCACTGAATGTTAGTAAGGGGGCAACAATCCCCTTACATAAATAACTATGAGGAAGGACTCGAAACCCAGGTCTGCTCGTAGTCATCACCTGCTCTTTCACCCAGACTGTGTTATCATTAGGGGTTCCTCTAGGGCAGGAATTATCCTCTGGTTTATAATGAGTTCATGAGACAGTTAGGAAACAGTCCAGTCCTTAGAAACATCACTGATCTGGTGGACATTAGTGAATAGTTAACTTTCTAAGCAACTGCCTTTCCACCATGCTCTAAAACAAAACCCATACCGTGTGTAATGGCAAAAGCTCACTCCTTCCTGGAGTTTGGTTTTATTAATAAAGCAATTAATCATAACATTACATAAAGTGCAGCTCAAGCCTCTTTTAGAGGCTTGGCTGCTCCTAAGGTTCCTCTTTCAGGATGGCTCAGCCCACACCCTAGATCCTCTGTTCCTAGAAAGCCACTCCCATTTCCCTTTTATCTGGATGGAGAAATGAGCTATCTGCCTCAGTTAGTCAGCAGAACCCATTTAACCCTTTCCCAGCAACATCAACACCTATTAATGGGATGGAATGTTTCAGCCAAATGCTGCCAGCCTGTTGCAATCTTCACAGTCATTGGTCTTTATTGTAGTATACATGACACATCATAAGGATAGCATTGTGCACCCTCCTAGCCAGTCAGGAGGCAGGATTCAGCACCATCTCCCCTGTGCCACAGTTTGGT